TACTGCCCTTGTGGCTTGGGGTCACCTTCCACAAGTCGCTTGGGGGTCTGCCTCCGTGGGATCTTTTACTGCTCGGTGATTGACCTCCCTTGGAGTCGCTGGGGTGTTTCATGCACCATTGTTTGTCTTTGGGTAGGTGGTTTCATCACAGGTAGGGGCACAAGGTACTGTGCAGCTAGTTTTCACCATATTATAGTGACCGGCTCTGTTCTGCCTGGGTTGTTGTCCTCTTGGGGTTTTTTTCTTTTACTTTTTGTTTCCTGTCTGGTGGGGGTTCTGCCCCTTGGTGTTGGTATTCCTTCTGTATATTTGGTGGTCCTCCACTAGGTCCCCATGAGTGTACGCGTCCCGGGGGTTCAGCTATTAGTAGTTCGCTTGGTAGTTTGGGGGTGCCGGTTTGCAGTACCTTGCCTGGGCTTCCCTTAGCAGAGCATCCATGGGGCCCTGGAATTCCTGGGCTTCCCTTTGCAGAGCGTTCAAGGGCCCTGGAAAACCGCATTGGGGCACAGTGGTCCGATAGATGCATCTCCTGGGTCCCATCTCGCTTCATGCGAGTCTGAGGGTTGTTCTGTCCCCTTGTCTCAGGGTGACAATCACCAGTTGTGCCTCTGTCATGCTGCCTGTTGGGTCAGTGACACCTTCGACCCGGGTCCTGCAAGTGGTGTTCCTTGCTTGTACTCCAGTTCACCCAATCCACTGATCTTGATATTTGGGTGCAGGCAGCTTTGGCATTGCATGCATGTTTTAGGTTGCTGCACTGCGCTAGGTCGGTTAAGGTTCCTTCGGGGACGTCCCTTCTGTCTCTCACGATCACTGGGTTCGGCCTCCGGGTGCCTCACATCGGAGGCTGCATCGCCGGCTTCCTCTTTGGGTTTTTCAGGGTTTGGCTCCCTACTCAAGCCCTCGCTCGATGTGTTCACGGATGCATTTTCACTTGGCTGGGGTTTTGTGACCAGTGCTCACCAGGCCATCCAGGGTCGGTAGGGTCCGTCTGCATCACCGCTTCCTCTTTGGGTTTTTCGGGATTCAGTGCCTTGGCACCAATCCGAGCCCTCGCTCGATGTGTTCACGGATGCATCGTCTCTTGGCTGGGGTTTTGTGACCAGTTCTCACTAGGCCGTCCAGGGTCGGTAGGGGTCTGTCTTTCTGTCAGGCTCACCATGGTGCTGGAGATTGTGGCGATGTGGCTTTCGCTTCAGAGGGTTCATGTTGCTTGTGGATCTACGATTTGGCTCCATTTGGACTGCTCCCCAGTGGGTCATTGCCTGAACCGAGGGGGGGGTTCGATGTGGTCCTAGGCTCTTTGAGGCTGGTCACTTCAGGTGACTCGTCTGCTGAGTTCTCGGGGTTTGGCTCTCCTGGCGGTTCATATCCAGGGGGTATCCAATATTCTGGCAGATGGCCTTTTCCCGTTTCATTCCCTTGTCCACAGAATGGACGGTCGAGGATGCCTCGTTGCTTTGGCTCTGTCGGACATTCAGGTGCCCAGGGGTGGACCTCTTCGCATCGGCGCAGTCGAGCATCTCCTGGTTTACGTGGCGCCCTTCCATGACTGTAAGACCGTTGGGATCAATACCTTTTGACTAGACTGGTTGAGGTTGAGTTACCTGTACCTCTTCCCAACCCTGTTCGGTTGTTGCTCCAGGTCCTGGCTCGCTTGGAGACTTACTAGAGGAGAGTAGTAGTCCTGTTTGCCCCTTGATGGCTGGCCCAGTCTTGGTTTCAGGCGCTGCTTGCTCAGTGTCTAAACCTGAGGGGCCTTCCCACGGCTCTGCCCCTTTCAGCAGGTCGGTCTGGTCCGGTACGTGGTTGGTTCGGTGTTCTCCGATCTTCGCGTCTGGTCTTTTTGACGCGGGTTTATCACCACTTGTATATTGATCTTGTGGCTTCCTTGATGGTGTCCCACCTGTGAGTTTTGTCTTGACTCACTTCTTGACTCTTCATAGGTTGCCTTCGATTTCTGATAGGGTTGTTTTGTCCTTTCTCTCTAGATGATTTCAGGACAGTCATCTTATGCCGAATACTGCCGCCTCGTTTCGTCCCCAACTCCGACTTCATCTCATGTTGGCCTCCGAATGCATGATAGAGCTGATGAGTTAGCAAAAGAATCTGCCTTTAAAGGAGAAATTGAGTGTAACTTTGGATTGTCAATAAGCAGTCTGAGAGCAATAGTACACAAAGAGCTTCAACAAAATCTTGTAGATTTGAGGCAAAGTGAAATCGACACCAGTAATTCCATCTATCATGATACTATCATGCAAGAGGAGCCACACATCTATGGTTTATCCAATAAAATCGACAGATTTCTAGATGTTACAACTGCTCGGCTGAAACTCAGTTACAAGTATCTCTGGGAATTCTCATTATCTGCCGATGTAGACCTGACCAAATGTAAACTGTGTCAACAAAATTATTCGCACACCCTCCATCACTATGTAATGGAGTGTGAAAGATACATGAATTCAGAGACAATTCTATAACCAATGTTCCAAAGATGTGTAAATATTTCATTCAAAATGATCTGCTACCATCAATTTTAGGCAAATATCCCCAGTTTGCTAACTGTAGGTAGTAACTAAGTGATTGTAACCTATCCACCACTGTCCACAGGATGGGGGTGGTGTGCAGGACAAACATATCAATTGTGACACTAGCTCTCCACATATGTCAGTTGCTTAATTTAGAAACTGTACTTGTGGTCAATCTCGAACCCATTGATAATGTGAAGACTTACATTGAATTTTGTAACTAGCTCATCAAGATTGTAACTTGCTTAGCTAAATGAATTGTGGGGTTCAGTCCCTGAGCCCATTATGTGCTCTGTAACCATTTCCACTATCGCCCACAAGATGGGTATGAGGTGCATAATAAATGAACTGAACTAAACTAACTCATATCGTGCGGCGCTGGCGGACATGCTTCAGCTTGGGTTCAGGGTGGATGTCACTTCTGCTCTGTTGCGCAAGCTTTCTCAAGCATTGTTTTACCTTCGGCTTGCTCATGCACTGCCTGAACCATCCTGGTCGTTGTACCGGGTGCTCTCTTTTTTCTCTTCTCCTTCGTTTGTGGTGGCCCCTTCGGTTCAGGACTTTTTTCTGAGGGTCTTTTCTTATCGGCATTGGCCTCGGGGGGTCGGGTCAGGGAGCGTCATGCTCTCCTCCGGCACAAGGGTTTCTGCTCTTTCGGTCCTGGTGGTCGTTTTGTTCATTTGCAGCGTCTCCTCCTTTTCGGGCGAAGAATGAGAATGCTGCTTTCTGAAGGGGTCCTTGGGTTGTTGATACTTGGTTGGTTTGGCCGGGCGTGCATCATGTTTTGTGTCCAGTTGCAGCTCTTCGTCGTTACAGTACTTGCGCGTCATGGCCTCCATGGCAGGGGTTGACCCGATTTCCCTTCTTCACTGTTCCAGGGCACGGGTCTCCCAGGTCGTCCACAGGATTATTCAGTCCAGCCAGCCTGTGGTCTATCCCTGTGCCCACGGCGTTCATATGTTCACGGCTTTGGTTGCTGTTTTTGGTAATATGTTCTGGGCTGACATTCCTGGCTTTTGGAGGTCAAACAGGGTCCTGGCCGCATGGTACCGCAGTTTTGCAGGTTGCAACCTGCAACCTTGGGCCTCAGGTTGCAGCCAGTTGTCTTGACTTTGAGTTGAGGAGCGAGTGGCGGTCGCCTCCCGGGTAAGTCCCTCTTTTCCTTTATCTTTGAATAGGTAGCTCCTTGGTGCTGGAGGGGCTCTCCACAGAAAACCAGCGTTGAATGTAATGAAAAGCCATTTTCTGGGTGAGACCCGAAGGCTCCCTGGCAACCCTTCTTCCTTCAGGTCGATGGTTTTTCGCGTTTTTTTATGTTCAGCCTCTGAACTGGGGCTGGGTAGCCGGCGCTGGAGGTCTGGGATACCCCTTCTTCCTCCCGGGGAGGAGGGAGTTGCGCAGACAGTGGCATGGCGGCTGCGGTGATGTCATATTTGTTTGTTTTTTTCTGATTGAGGAGCTCTGCATGCTTTTCTGGCTTTCGGTTTGCAATGATTAACCAGCTGTAGGTTGTTTTGGGATTCCTACCTTTCTGGGTGCCTGACCTGGTAGATGGCAGATATAGACTGTTTCCAACTACACGGAAGTATCTATAGGCCATTGCTCCTTGTGCCTCTCTGAGGGGAGCCAGGTTCTGGCTCGTGGTCCCTGGCAGACCTAGAACTCCATTCATTGACTGTTACCATGGTCTAATATATACATACCGGGAAGCCTCCAGGTCTCACCCAGAAAATGGCATTTCATTACATTCATCGCTTTTTCAATTCAGTTTATGCTTTTGATCTCAATTAGTTTTAAGTTTTAGTCTTTAAGTGGTTTTCCCACATCTTACCCGAAATGCTGTGTATATTAGTGGCTACAGAGCCATTATGTACTAGCTCTGTTTAATTTTGCCAACTTGTTGTGTAGACTGCTTATATTAATGCATCATTGAATCTACCAGAATCTAACTGTTTTTTCCTCTCGGGTGGCTATCTTGAATTTTGTCGTCTGCACTGTTTACACAGAGGCAACTATTTTCATACAGTTATTTCACTTCCCCTGGCACATTTGTGTTATCTCATCTATTTTTCAAATACACTACACCTTTATATTTGTTGGGACACCACTCATGGTCATCAACCCGTTCTACAATACTTAGGAATTTAAAATATCCTGGAGCTCCTCTGATGCAGGTGTTGACTCAGGGGTAGCCTGGGAGTGAAGTCATTCACTGGGGTGATCATGTGTGTGTGTTTAAGCATTATACTCTACTGTACATCATGTCTTTATATATTCCCCCCCTCCCTCCTCAGTGAATGTTGTGCTGGTGTCTTATCTATATACTGAATCTTGGAGAAAATATTAGTCAAGAGTCTTTGCTAACTCACAATTGTTTGTATATACTGTAAATAGCATACAGTATTTGACATAAGACAGATAATAGAATGACTTTGCAATTTATTATTGATATACATGCATTTATATTTTCAGGCTGGTAATGGGGGTTTTGTAGTGCCCAGTGATGCCTGCTGCTCCGATCCCACGAGTCCGCCAGTGTGGCAGACTTGATAAACTGTCTCTGTCGGCATTGGAAAAGTTTCTTCTACGAGCTTTTTATTTTTTGGCCAAGGAAGGGTGCACAAGTACACCTGAAGATCTGTTGGGTAGTGGAAATCATAGTCCAATCATTACAACACTTTGTGAAAAAGACAGTCTCTCGCCAATTGAAGAAATACGTTCGTATCTCTTTCCGAAACTTCACATGTGTTATCGGCAACAGCTTGTAGATGACCTTTTAATTGCAATGGGCTCACCTGAATTTGATGAAAATATGCTAGTAGCTGAATTAGAATTTAAATTCAGATCTTGTGATATAGTTGCAAGCACCAGTGACATGAATCAGATAATTCAAAATTATTTAAAGTGTTTATTGCTTGGATATGTAACTAAACTAGATTTTAGTGAGCTCTATGCTGGAGAAAGCTGTTGGATAGCCAGATCCCGAAGGATTTTGCATACGTGGGGTCAAGTTAAGGGAGATGGCTCTGAGTTTACTAAAGGAATAAAAAACAATAATGTTAATACAATCAGTGTTGAGTGCATGTGGAAGGATCTGGTGTTTGAAAACAGTAAAGCTGTCGGAAGGGGAGCAATAGCCTCTGCTCCATACTTTCGTGAGTTGCTTAGCATCAACATTGATTACGTGGCAACAGGCCAGCTGGTGTGGTCAATAGGATGTAATTGTCCTCTTCTTCAGCATTTAAGTTTGTACCTAGACACAAGAGATGATAGAAAATATAGTAAACATTTTGAAGATAATTTAGTGGACAGTTTAGCTGCCTTGTATGGCCATAAAAAATATACACCATCGTTTTACCGAGGACGACCGTTAGGTTGTCCGAAACTTCAGACTTTAATTATGCCCTTAGTAGGGGATCACGAGAGGCTGGAGGTATGCACATCCAAGCTACTGTGTTATTTACCGCGTCTTCATGCTGTTCATAATGTAAGCACTGCAAAAACATTTGTAGCTCTTCTTAGCGATGAAGACTTCAAGCGTAAGCCTCTGTCACTCAAATATATTGATGAATCCCATTCAGAAGAGGCAACCACAGAAGATATTTGTGAACATTTTCAGTTGGATATGAAGTTTTTTTTTCCAAAGGTGACTAGCATTAAAATAATTCAGAGTAAGCAACGAGGCGGCCTCAGAATTATGTCATATTTTCCCAAAGTGAATAACCTGGAAGTAATTACATTAGAATTAGGGGAACTGGAATTTGGAAGCAACTTCACCCGCCTAACACATTTTAAGAGCAATTGCAGATGGGATGAAAAGAAACTGGCTGGTTTCTCACAGCGAGCACCCAACCTTGAGGACCTGACCTTTTCCCCAGGTTCTCTTCACAAGCACAGGAAATCCAGAGATTCCATATCTTTCCCAGTGCTGAAAATAATTAGGTTGCTCAATTTGGATCACATAGACCCTGAACCATTTACTTCATTGATCAAGGGAACCAAAGTTCTCACTCACTTGATCATAGAAAATGGTGATTATAGAATAGAGGCCCTTCACTCTCTGACTGCAGTTATAAATGATAAAACTGTTGCAGCTATTTTGTCATCGCTTAAGAAGCTAGTTGTGTTTCGTGCAAGTTTAACAAAGTTCGTTGGAAACGGTCGATATGCCATGACTATGAAAAGTGTCAACAGCTTTCTTAACAGCTGCCCAGATCTATCAGAGATTGGTAATTTATTTCACTGGGACATTCCCTACCAAGATGTATTGGCGCTGAAGCAACAGGCAAAAGACAAAAATTGGGATGTTAATTTATTTCCACCTGAGCGTTTGTGATGCATTTTCTTTAGCTGTAAAAAGGGTAAATTTTCACTATGTTCCAGATGAAGGGTCATCCCCATGTGATTGACGGTGACTCTAGATGAAGACTTGATGTGTTTTATAATTTCAAGTTTGAATAACAATCTTACCACAATATAACAATGGAGTGTTTCAACAAATAACTGGTTAATTTGGTCTTCAGGAATTGTATTTGGAGTATTCATCTACATGTACATTTGAATTATGAAATAAGTTTGTTGATAAAGATTTTGATTTAATGGGGATGCAGCATGACAGTTTTGACTGTCAAAAATTCATTTATTTTGTTTGTCTGAAATTTGACTATTTGGTAGCACAATCACATAAATTATAATTGCAATATTTTACTCCAGTAATATCTTTAGTATTCCTTATAAGTCATAGATTCTTGCAATGTAGTAGCATTCTTATTGCACTGTGCATTTTTGAAGGTACATTCTTCTACCAGATGTTTTCACAATGTTTTGTTTTCACTGGTTTGTGTGAGATGTATATTATCAACACAACTAGGCAATGCTGGCTTAGTTCACGTGTCAAACAAAAAAATAACACTTGTAATATGTTTTGTGATTTATATGTTGTTCCTTTGAAGAATGAATTATTATTGTGTTCAACAGGTTTGATTATTATTCATTATATGCAAGCTGATGAGTGTGTGTGTGTGTGTGTGTGTGTGTGTGTGTGTGTGTGTGTGTGTGTGTGTGTGTGTGTGTGTGTGTGCGCGCATCTCTGAGTATCACACTCCTTGTTTGTGCTCTGATGAATAAATTGACAGAGCAAAATGGGCAAAATTGCTTTCAAATATGTGCATAAGACTGTTCATTTTATTTACCACATTAGAGCATTTAAATTTTAATGGCCATAGACAGCGTAAACATCAGAAGATACACTTAAGTTAAGCATTTCGTGTTTGAATAATGGCTCTGACTAGGCTGTGTATTGGCAGCCAGTCATGGGTGTTTAATGGAATAAAGTCTGCACTTCATTGTTTGAACTGCATTTTTTATTTTTTATTTTTTTTATTTATTTATATATACAAGAGTCGTTACATTCTTGTACAGCCACTAGTACGTGTAGCATTTTGGGCAGGTTCTTAATACTGTACCATGTTCCCTGGAATACGAACCGCCAAATCGTTTAATAACCAAGGTATTAGGGTACCTCTGTATACATTGTTCAACTTAATCTTGTACCTCCTTATGGAATATCCTGATTTTCAAGATGATCATAGGGTTTTCTTTCCTAATGTCCCACTGGGTTGCTAGAGTCTTGGTGAATCTGATACCTTCATGTCATTCACTTTGTCCTTTTTTTTCCTCATATTGGCATTTGTAATGATCTTAGCGCTTTTTTAATATCCCTGACACAGATAGTGCTACATAGTCTTATTAGTTTAGTGCCTTCTTTGTTGATAATTACAGTACTACAGATAATTTTGATGAGTTGATAATTACAGATAATTACAGAGATGCTCCATCATATCCCTCTGTGTTCCTTGCAGTACTTGTTGCATGTATATAACCATCCTTGGGAGTTGTCTTTGGCCTCCAAAGATTGACTTGAAGTGGTTGTTTTTTTATTAGAAAACCTGATACTCGAGGTACTTCCCCCTAAGGATTTTCATATCATTGCCCTGACAAGTGGCGTCTGCAAACTCAGAGTATGATTAATGTAAGTCTGATGTAGGCAATGAGTCACAATAACGTGGCTAAAGTATGTTGACCAGACCACACACTAGAAGGTGAAGAGACGACAACGTTTCGGTCCGTCCTGGACCATTCTCAAGTCGATTGAGAATGTAGTCTCATGTAGTTTCTGGAATATTATTGCTTACCTCTCCCCCCTTACCAATTTGGGTTTCAAAAGTGTCATTAGTACAATGGATATTTTAGTGGACTTGGTCTACATTCATATTGCCTTTGACTTGAATTCCTCCATTGTTAGTTCTTTTGAACTATGTGAAGGCTTATGACACTACATGGAAATACAGTATTTTGCTTCAACTGCATTCCTTTGGCCTTTGTGGCAATCTCCCACCTTTCTGTTCAAAGTTTCCTCTCTCGTTGTTCATTTCCGGTGAGATTTGGTGCTGCTTTTTCTAAACAAAATTTAACAACGTGATGGCATTTCCCTAAAGTAGTGTGCCATGAAGCTTCATGGAACACAGAGAGGAACCAGCATTTTCTTTTTAAAAGAAAATGTAAATTCTTCTTGTAAAAGAAGAATTTTTCTTCTTTTACAATTCTGACTACATTGTTGTAATTCATGCTTCTTATCACAGTATCGACATCTGGTGTCCAACTGTTATTTCCATGCCATATGTCACCAAAGAGAAAGAACACTTTGTGTATAGTGTGTATATATACACACTATATAATATTTTAAAGTGTATAAATTACATTGTGTATAGTAAATTTTATAATATTTCAATATATTTTGCCACTTTCCTGTATCCTAGTCCTTGCACAAAGTCTTTCTGGAGCCTCAACCTTCAAGGTAACAATATGGTTTTGTTTTTCACTGGTTTAAGTTACCCTTATCTAGCTCTCTTTCCAAGTATATTTGTGAGGTCTTGGTTTATTTGTTCCCAGTTAAGCCGCTTGCTGTTGAAATTGAATTGATTCTTCTCTTGGATTTGAGACTGGCTGCACAGGTCTATTGCCCCATGCATGTCTGAACTTTAGTTAGGTTATCTGAGTACATGTATTTGTAATCATGTGTCTAATCAGGTCATCATCGTTTGTTAAAATAAGAGCTAAGGTGTCTTCTGTCATAGTTCTAATATTTGCTGGTTTAAGGCAAATCTGTCACACATTTGCAAGATGTCATCTGTGTTTGACTTCATTTAAACTGCTTCCTGTTATTTTCTCTGGTATAACTGTATTTGCCACACTTTTCCATTTTATTTGCCAAGCAAGATGATTGGGGCAGGGTTTGAGAGGTTTTCTAAGTAGTATTTATTCTATTTTTGTAAATTGGTCTTTGAACTGCTAATGATTTACATCTGGTGATTTATATACAAGGACAATTGCCATCTTTAGAATTTCTATTTTGAGTATCAGCACTTCAACCATATCATTTGTGGTGCTTAGCAGCTCTGTGCAGATGAGTGTGTCTTTGATGTACAGGCTGACCCCACCCTGTACCCTATGTTTTCTATCATCTCAAAAGACTGAATTCTGGTATTTATATCTCATTGTCATAATACAGTAGTCCTTTGTGCGAGTTTCAGTGAAAGCTGCAAATACTACATTTGCCTCATTAAGGAGACTAGGTAGAAAGTGGACCTTGTTTTACATGTTTTGATGCCTTGTATGTTGGCAAATAAGAAAGATGTTATCTTATTTGTGGAAGTGCTGGATAACACTGCTGTTATCCATCCCTTGTTCTGCTGGCCCCAACATTAGTCTCCTGCTGAGTGTGTTGCTAACCTCACTATACTGCAGTGTTCACCCCTCTCCACCTCATGCCCCCATCTTCCAGCCTGCAGTGTAAACCCGATCCCTTTCCCCCCTTCCTCTTCCTGTCCTAAGGAAAAAAAAAGACCTCTCCCTTTTTATTACAACCACCCTTGTATTGGGGGTGTGACATTCGTCCTCCTTCCTGTACAACCCCACTATCTGAGCGCTCTCTGCTTCCATCTCTTCTCTCTTCTCTCTTCTCTCTCATTTCAATCCATCTGTATGCCTAAGCTACCTTCCTTACCCCTTCTTGTCCATTTTTCATTGCTTGATTTAATTTTGCCATCTTGTTCTGATTTCACAACAGATCTTGACCTTAGTTGCCTCTATTATTTGAGTGATTCTTTGCATCAAGCTTTTTCTCTCCATTCATATTTGTTCTTCCTTACCATGTCTCATTCAGTTGAATATATATATACATTCAGTTGTCATTCAGTATGTGTATCTGAACTTCATCATTTTTTTCACCAAGTTTTCTCCAGTGTCTCTTTGAGAACCGAAGCTCGACGCTCATCTTGGTCACGCCATAGTTACACCTTTATAATGTCACCGAACCCTTTTTAATCCTAGCACCACTGCTCTCTTTCCTCTATTTATTAATGCTTAATATTCTTCTTCCTTCTACTTTCCTTTTAACATAAATTCCACTACTACTAATATTTGATTAAATGGTATACTGTCTTTTTATATTCCTGTTTTCATCCAATATCTATTGAGTTGAAGCTCTTCTTAAAAGGTTTTACCAGTCATTACTCCATTCAAGTAAGTTTAATTAACTGAAGAAATGCTGCCTTGGGGCATTTCTTTTACTAACATCAGTGGTTGTCTTTAAAATCTTATTTTTGTATATCCTCTCTGTCTTTGTCAAATACTAGCCAGCCGACTCATGTTGCCTCTCAAAGTTGTTAATCTTTGCATCATACAGGATTTGCTTCTTACCTAAGGGACATTTTGTTTTTCTTCAACCCTGAGTTTATATGTTAAAACCAGTGATATGTCGTTACAAGACCAATAAGATCAGTATTGCCTTTGATATTTCAGGTGGACCCTACATACCCCTATTTGATTATTGCTCATATTGAAGATCTTGCTCATTCCCCTTTGCAGTCTTCTACTGCCTGGTTTGTCTGCTTGCAGGCTAATCTCTGTGCACATTTGCAGTGTATCCCCCTGTATTGTGTCCATCCCCATAAAGAATTTGGCCTGTTAAATTTTGTAAGACATGAATCTGTTTGGTGAAGGTTATACTCTCCCTACTGTCATGGAATGGCTTTTCCTTTAATACTTTCATATGCTCCTGCTCTGTTTGTGGATGAATTAAAGTCTGCTGATGGAGTTGGCATCTGTTATTTACCCTGGCCAAACCTCTCTGCCATCTTACCCCGATACTAATCATTTAAAAGTAATGCTTTATGCAATTTTATAGTAGAAAGAACTTTAATTCATAACTTATATAAATATACAATAATGCTGGACTAAACAGATGTATAACAGTAAATCAAACTTGCAGTTTTAGCACAAAGTGAATACTATTTAGCTTAAAAATTGAAAGGCAACATATAATGGAAAACAAAGTGTAGTTTACCATTAGAGTGGTGAAGATAATTGGCACAATTTATATCACAATATTGCATTAGGTTAAGACAATTTGAATGAGGACTAATATAAACTAAACATACCTTGAAGTGGCCAGTGATAAGCAAGTGCCTGAAAAAAAAAGTGGATTGAATGTTGCTGGATGGGGCCTCGTAGCCTGGTGGATAGCGTGCAGGACTCGTAATTCTGTGGCGCGGGTTCGATTCCCGCATGAGGCAGAAACAAATGGGCAAAGTTTCTTTCACCCTGAATGCCCCTGTTACCTAGCAGTAAATAGGTACCTGGGAGTTAGTCAGCTGTCATGGGCTGCTTCCTGGGGGTGGAGGCCTGGTCGAGGACCAGGCCGCGGGGACACTAAAGCCCCGAAATCATCTCAAGATAACCCTCAAGAAGATGGGCGAGTCATATCCGGCACAAGTATATCTTTTTTTTTTTTGTGAATTTCTTCGTGTAGCTGTGGACATAATGTCAGGTAGGAGATATCAATGAATGTGAAGAAGGGCCACTCTCTCTAGTGGCCTCCACAGACAGGAACCTGGTGGCTAGATAAAGGTCCTCCCATTGTTCCAGTGGATCTTTTCCAACTGGGTTTTATACTGAAGTACAGTAATGTCTTGGAATTTATGGCTTTGGCAGGTTTTAACCCTATAGTTAAAAAAAAAAACTTTTTTTTTTGCCCTGCAATGTGGCTTGAAGCTCCTTGTATGCTTTACATTTGACTATTTATTAAAGAATCGGTTCAGATTAGTATCCTCCAACTTGTTCAGTATAGTACTGTATTTTAAAGAACTCTAGATCAGCTGTTATGTCTGGTTAGCAGTTTCTTTAGTCTTGTGGTCCTCAACTCAAATTCAATTTTTTTGTTCGAGTAAAAGTACATACATAGAAGATTTGTTACAAGCATAATGTTGGATTTATAGATAGAGGTAGTACATACAATACCTAAAGCCACTAGTACGCATAGCGTTTCGGGCAAGGTGTGGGGGGAAAAAAAACTTAGACTGAAACTTAATAGTAATTAAGATTAAAGTATAAATTATGTTGAAATAAGGAATTAAAAAAAAAGGGGGGGGGGACATGGTAGAAATCAGCAATTATACAAGTTGTCAACAAACAGCATTGTTTAAAATAGCAAGACATAAGTTGACATTTAGGTGTAAGGTAGGTTACATGGGGTTAATTAGGTGGTACTTAGTTTTTATCTTAAACTGGTTGAAAGAGGAACAGCCTTTGACATGATTGGGAAGGTCATTCCACATTCTGGGTCCCTTGATTTGTAGAGCATTTCTAGTTTGGTTAAGTCGTACTCTTGGAATATCAAATACAATACAATACAATACAATACAATTTTATTTAGGTAAGGTACATACATACAATAAATTTTTACAAGGATTGGTAGACTTATAGGTAGAGCTAGTACATACAATGCCTAAAGCCACTATTACGCAAAGCGTTTCGGGCATGATAAACTTAAATGACAAGCTTAATACTACAGTAATTGAGCATAATGAGTAGAATGAAAACAAGAAATGAAAGCATAGATGAAAAAGCAGCACAAATACAATTATGTCGACAAACAGCGCTCTTTAAAGAAAAAACACAGACATTGGTTGACAATAGAGGGGTAAGGTAGGTTACAGGGAATTTATTAGGTATAGCTTCGCTTTTAACTTAAACTGGTTGAGAGAGGTACAGTCTTTAACATGGTTGGGAAGGTCATTCCACATTCTGGGCCCCTTGATTTGTAGAGCATTTCTAGTTTGATTAAGACGCACTCTAGGAATATCAAAACTCTATTTATTTCTGGTGTGATGCTCATGGGTTCTGTTACAACCTTCTATGAAGCTTTTGAGATCAGGATTGGCATTATAGTTTAGCGTTTTATATATGTATACTACACATGAGAGAATGTGCAGTGACTTAATGTCTAACATATTCAGAGATTTGAGTAGGGGTACCGAGTGATGTCTGGGGCCAGAATTGGATATTGTCCTAATAGCAGCTTTGTGTTGAGTAATTAGAGGACGTAAGTGATTTTGGGTAGTAGAGCCCCAAGCACAAATACCATAGTTGAGATATGGATAGATAAGGGAGTAATAGAGAGTCACCAGGGCAGGGCGTGGTACATAATATCTGATCTTAGAAAGAATGCCCACAGTTTTTGAAACTTTTTTTGATATGTTTAGTATGTGTCCCTGGAAATTCAGCTTGTGGTCAATGAGAATGCCAAGGAATTTGCCATCTAATTTGTTACAAATTTGGGTATTGTTTATTTTGAGATTTATTTGATTAGAGGATTTATTGCCAAACAGAATATAGAAGGTTTTGTCAATGTTAAGGGTGAGTTTGTTGGCAGTTAGCCACAGATGGACTTTATTTAGCTCAGTATTTACTGTGTCATTTAGAGCAAGGGGATCAGGACTGGAGTAAATGAAGGTTGTGTCGTCAGCAAATAGAATTGGTTTGAGGTGTTGTGAGGCATTTGGAAGGTCATTAATGTAGATGAGAAAGAGGAGAGGGCCAAGTATGCTGCCCTGGGGAACACCAATGTTGATGGGTAGGGTGGGAGAAATTGTATTATTCACAGAAACATATTGGAGCCTGTCAGTAAGGTAGGATTTGAGGTATTGTAGGGAGTGTCCTCTGACTCCATAATGATGTAATTTAAGAAGAAGGTTTTGGTGGTTGACAGTATCAAAAGCTTTACGCAGGTCCACAAACAACCCAACAGGGAACTCATTTTTATCAAGAGCTGTATGAATCGAGTTAAGCATACTAATAAGTGCATCGTTAGTGCTTTTTTGGGGTCTGAAGCCATATTGGCAAGGGCTAAGTATATTGAGTTTGGCTAGATATGAGTAAAGCTGCTTATAGATTAGTTTTTCAAAAATTTTTGACAAGTTTGGCAGGATAGATATAGGTCTGTAGTTGTTAACATCTGTGAGATTACCACATTTGTGGACAGGCGTTACTCTCGCTTTTTTTAGAATATCTGGGAAGGTTTGGAGTTCAAGTGACTTGTTGAAGAGCAAAGCAATAGCAGGGGCTAAACATCTGGAGGCTTTTTTGTAAATTAAAGTTGGTATCTCCTCAAGGGCACCAGACTTGATTTTAAGGGAAAGGATTATCTCATTGACGTCAGTGGAATTAATAGGCTTAGTAAATAGTATTAGTATTTGTTTAGTATATTAAATAGTATTTGTTTCTGGTGTGGTGCTCATGGATTCTGTTACAACCTTGTAGGAAGCGTTTAAGGTCAAGATTGGCATTAAAGTTAAGAGTTTTAAATATATAGAGTACACACGAGAGGATATGCAGTGACTTAATATCAAAGATATTCAAAGATTTAAGTAAGGGTACCGACTGTTCTATTACCAACAGTTCCTGGTATGAGAATTGACTTAATTTTGGGATGATTTTTGTCACTGTTGAATTGTCTCCAAACCCGATGTGGCCTTTTTGAAAGTCTCCTTAATACAGGAGCCCCAATGGTGTGTGAGGAGGGGGGGGGGGGTGTGACACAAGAGCGCCTCCCATGCCCTTGCACCACCCATAGCTCTGCTGTTCAACAAATCTTTAGTGTCATACCTTCCCTGATATCCTTAAAAAGGCAAGAGTAGCGCCAGTTCATAAAGGAGGCAATCTGGTAGAAATAAACAATTGCAGACCTATATCAAATTACCTTTATTATCAAAAATATTTGAACAAATTATTTACAAACAGCTCTACTCCAATCTCGTAAAATTCAACATACTAGGTCCCTGTCAGTTTGGCTTCCGCTCCCAAAAGAGTACCAATCATGCAATTATTAGTCTGACTTATAATCACTTAAACTACTCAGTCCTTGACAAAAGTGAGGTTTCCGATTGGACTCTTCACTGAGAAAGGCCTTTGATACTGTTAACCATAAGAACGGCTGAAGTTCAAATTTAAAAATTAAATTGTCTATTTTCCCGAAATCAGTAAATAATATTGTATTATTAATAAAAAAAACATTAATACTAAGAAAAATATACTATAAGAATTTTTTTTTAATATTTGTTTAAAAAGATAGTTGGCCATCTGTGGAGCGGATCTACCTTCAGTTAGTGTGGCTGTGGGAGGAGTATTTAACTTAGGTGTTTTATCAGGCTACGGCTGAAATATGAATATCTGAAGTATTCTGGTAATTTCCCCAGCATCAGCGAATAATGTTGCATATTATTATAAGGAAAAAATCATTTTGATTGATTTTCTTTCAGAATATTTACAGGGTTAGCCGGCAGACAGTGCCAAAAATGGTCGTGAGAGTCTGAAATTGACCCTGACACGTGTTTCGTTTTGAATTCTCACTACCCCGACCAGCCTATGTTTACCCCGTACCCCAAACCATTCCCTCTGCCAATTTGGGTGAGACTAGCCCAAGCGTCTGGTCTCCATCGTTTGCCAAACACATACATTCCTCTCACAGAATAGATACAAATTTTAAATTAAATTATATGATTCACTTTCCAGTGCGTATGTTGACCATATCAGAAACAATTAGCGTCAAGAATATTTAAATAGCATGAAATTAACTCATTACTCGAAACGCTTTGGGAAGTAAAACGATTAATTGATAATCAATATATAATTTGAAAATATTGCATTATTGCAGGACAGGTTGTGTACCAAGCAGAAACCAATTAATATTAGCGCTCTCGGCGTTTCGGGGGATCGAGCAGCAACACTGAAAAGTGTATACTCTTTTTCACTGTCCT